AATAGTACCTCTTATTTCAAGTAACATATTAAAGGAAGAGGAATGGAAAGAGTAAAAGAAAAGCAAAAAGGAAAGTAGAAGAAATGAAGATGAAATGGAAAAGGAGAAGGACGAGGAAATGGAGAGAAGAGGAAAGGGATGATTAAGATGAGAAAGTGAAATATATGAGTGGAGTAAAGGAAGAGAGGAGAAAAAAGAAAGTGAATTCTGATAAAGGATGAGAAAAATGAAAGAGAAGAAAGAAGAAGATGGGAGAAAATGCTAAGGGAAGGTTTATATAGATAAGTATTAGTTTTCAGCGCAATGCGTTGGAAAATAATGTGGGTGGGATTTTGAAAATTTTATAAGGAAAAAATAGCGCTTGAACGTTGGATTTTAAAATTTAAATAAACTCATTTTCCAACACATTGCGCTTGAAAATAATGTGGGCGGAATTTTGAAAATTTTACAAGGAAAAAATGACGCTTGAACGTTAAACTTTAAATTTCAAATAAACTTATTTTCCACTGCATTACACTGGAAAATAACCTGACCAAATACACTGGCTTATTTTCTAGTGTACTGTGCTGGAAAATAATCTGAACCAAATGGGCACTACTATTTTCAAGTGTATTGCGGTGGAAAATAATCTAAACTAATCTAAACCAAATGGATACTACTATTTTCCAGCACACCGCACTAGAAAATAATCTGCAACAAATGGGCACTACTATTTCTAGCGCACTGCGATGGAAAATAACCTGAACCAATATAAACCAAATGGATACAACTATTTTCCAATGCACTGCACTGGAAAACAATCTACACCAAATGGACACTACTATTTTCCAGCGCAATGCACTGGAAAATAAGCTGAACCAAATACACAGGTGTATTTTTCAGCGCAAGACGTTAGAAAATAAACTGCACCCATTTTTATCATTTAACTTTGACGATTCTAAACATTTTTCAATGCGTTGCTGTAATACCCCAAAATTTTCAAGAACAATTAAGTGTAAGCTAGGGACCTAATTGTGAGAAAATAATGTTTTTAAACTTAATTATCAAAATTTCAAAAGTCAAGGGGCTAAAAAGAAAACCAATTTGGATAAGGATCAAGCTTAGATTTTTTTTCTTTTCTTCCTCATTTTCACGCGGGTCTGCTCTGTCTTCTTCCCGATCGTTCCTCCGGAAAAGCCCCCAAGCCACCGACTTTCTCCCCTTGAAAAACCAGGTGAAGGCCTCTTGAAATTTCCCTCCTTTCTTGCTCAAGAACCAAGTCTCAAGCCTAGAACTCTCTCCCTCAACCCAGAAATTCCAGATCTGCTCTGCGTCTTCCTCCCTCTGCCGTCCGCGAGCTGCTCTTGCCGGTGAGAGTGCTTCGGTTTTTGGTAAGGGAACAACCATAAAATCATCTCTTAAGCTTTGATCTATGTTGGGTTTACTCTAATTCCTCTTAGTCCTGCCAATTTTGGTAGCCCGTGAGCTTTCCCTGCCTTCCCGTCGGTCTCCCCAAGCCACAGCTCCGGTTTTTTGCTGAAATTTTCTGGTATGTGGCAACTCTTTTAAGTCCAATTTCATTTAATTAGTGGTTGCCTTGTTGAATTTGGTCCTTGTGTGACTGCCTGTGTTGTCCGAATGCTGGCAAGGGAAGAATGGAAGATTTCGGCAGCTTAATTGTGCTTTCTTGTTAATTCATGTGGAAATTACTTGTTGTGGTTGCTGTGATGTTAATTGTGGGAAAATTCTATGAAATTCCCGTGAATTGGCAATTTTTGCCTAAGCCGGTTCCTCCATTTTGTCTATGAGATTTGGAAATGTAAATATAAATGCACAATATGATTTTTAGAGCTCAAATTTCGAATAGGAAGTAAAATAAAATGAAGTAAATAAATAAAATAAATATTGCATTATGGAGGTTAATTGCCGGCAATATTGAAAAGAATCAAATAGGTAGTTCTCATATGGTTATTAATTCTGGAATATTGTGATTAGGTACTTAATTATTCCGCACTGTAGCGCTTGGGATTAGTGGTCTGTTTGGTGTGATTTGAGGTAAGTAAATGATGGTAAAGCCCTTCGGTTTTAAAGCATGTTTTGATTTGTTTTTGAAATGGTGGCGGGACTAAACTCGTTTTATACAAAATATGTATGATTGATTTGAACTAAAAATTTTTATGATTTTTATGGATTTGAGCATGCTTACTTGAAGTTCATGTGATTGTCCTGATGATTTGAAAGTTATTTGTAAAGAATGATTCTCTGTTAACTTCAACCTGTTTTGTCTCCGATATGGTCATGTTATTTCTGTAATCCTGCTAGTGGGGGTTAAACGCTAGCACATGTCGACATGTATTTCTGTAGAGTCGGTTCCTCCTGCCAGTGGGAGTTGTTAAACACTGGTATTTTTGTAATCCTGCTAGTGGGGGTTAAACACTAGTAACTTCTGTAGCCTGCCAGTGGGAGGTTTATAACACTGTTCGTGACTTATAGAGGAGACGTCTATTTCGTTCCCGTACTTATATCCGTTTTTCTAATTGCACTTATTGGCATGCGATAAGTTTAATTGACTACTACTGAACTTTATTCTGCATAATGGTTTATCGTTGAACATTCCGTTTATGTTAAACTGGTTATCTGAAATGCTCACATTTCACCCACGGGTTATCCATACATTTACTTATTGAGATATTTTATCTCATAGTTTTTCCTTGTCCACCATTTCAGGTAGTGAGTCCCGACGCATGGGGAGCCCGGAGGAGAGACGAGCTAGACGGCTAGGCACTTTTGGACTTAGAATTTGTAGCTAGGCCGTTAGTCACCCATGCTTGACTTAAGAATTTTTGTGTACAGAACTTAGTATTAGTCATGACTGTGTATATGAAGTGATAAATTTTGTACATCTGACTGGTAAATATTTGGTAAATAAAAAGGTTTAGATCTGAATTGTCTGAATTGCTAAGTAAGAATTCAGTAGGTTTAGAGCTTTGTGCATTTGTGGGCCTCGCTCACGAGTGCACGGCGTCTGTCTCGCTCCGGGATTGGGGCGTGACAGATTTTGTGGTATCAGAGCCTAAGTTAAAAGTAAGAGCCTAAGGCTAATCTAGAATTTAGCTAGCAAATTAGTTAGAGGAACGTGGTGAGGCATGAGAGTGGGGTTGATTGAGGGCGCTTGTTTGATTTTCCTTAATGTGTGAGAGTTTTATTTATTTTATTTTGTGTTGCTTGGTCCCGGAAGTGGAAACTTGTCGGGAAATTTTGTGGAGCATTTGATTAATAGTCTATACACCTTTTATGTGGTTGAGATGGCTCCAAAACGGCGTGGGCGCCCGAAGGGTAGCTGTAAGGATCAGGACACTCCTCCGATCCCAGCTGCCAGTCCCCCTACCCAAGTTGCTCCGCAGGAGGGAGGGACGAGCAATCCTCAAGTGGCCGCCTTTGTTCAGGAACTTATGGTAGAGATAAGACGCCAAGTATCTCCTGCCACGAGTGTGCCACCTCCATCCCCGATGGTCTCCACTCCTACCCCGGTGGTCTCCACTCCTATGACCCCTACTCCAATTTCCCCTATTCCCATCTCTTCTGCTCCTGCTGTGCCTAGCTGGAAGGTCTATACAGAATTCCAGAAGCTAGTGACCCAGAGATTTGATGGTATTGCAGGTTTTGAGCAGGTGGGATCGTGGATCACCGAGGTGGAGCAGGGATTCTACCTACTGCATGTTTCTGATGACCTTAAGGTCAATGTAGGCAGTTTTATGCTTGCTGGGAAAGCATTAACTTGGTGGGTGAGTTATATGAAGCTACACCAAGGAGAGCCTGAATTGAGCACCTGGGATGGTTTTAAGAAGGTGTTCATGCAAGAGTACATACCAGATAGCAGAAGGCGGGAACTGCAAAGGGAATTTGCAGATTTGAAGCAAGGGTCAGGTATTGTTGAGCAGTACAAGGAGGAGTTTGACCGCTATCTACCTTTTGTGGGTAGCCAAGTTGCCGATGAGCAAGCCAAGGCCGACAGATTTCTGTGGGGCTTGAATTCCGATATTTATTTGGCGGTAAACCAATTTAAACCCGCCACTTATCGAGAGGCAGCGGATAGAGCCATAGACCAGGAGAAGGCTATGGCTAGGGTCAAGTCCTCAGGACAGCACGGTGCCGGGTCATCCCTGGGGAAGAGAAAATTCGATGGGAGCTGTAGGCTCTTTGTCCCTGCACCGCATAGGGCTGCTATCAGCAAGGGTTCTAAAGGGCCAGGAGCTACCAAGACTGGGGGCCAAGCATCCATGGCTCAACGTGCTCGCCCTACTCCACCTACTTGCCAGTTTTGTGGGAAGGTTGGGCACACCCGTGATCAGTGCCACATTGCTACTGGAGCTTGCTTTAGATGTGGCAAGCAAGGACATCAGATTGCAAATTGTCCGTTGCTAGACCCCAAAACTCAAAGTACTCAATCTACATCTCAGCAGGGGTCTACCAATCAGGGGGCACCGAAACAGAATGTCGACGTTAGGACAAGAGCCCAGCAAGCAAGAGCCCAAGCCCAGTAGGCAAGAGTTCACGTGATGACCCATCAGGAAGCTGCGGCTACCGACGTAATCACGGGTACCTTGCCTGTTAACTCTGATTTTGCACATGTTTTATTTGATTCGGGTGCATCGCACTCCTTTATTGCTCGATCTTATGCTTTGAAACGAGCTTTGCCTGTTGATACCTCTGATTGTGAACTGCATGTGGACACCTCTTTAGGAGGGATGATGACTACTAGAGATGTGTGTAGGATTATGAATATTTATATTGATGGTAGACAATTGAGTGCTAGCCTGTTTGTTTTAGATATTTCTGATTTTGATATTATTTTGGGGATGGATTGGTTGTCAAAACATTTTGCCTCTATAGACTACCATCGGAAATGGGTAATTTTTAATATCCCTGGTGAGCCAGAATTTAGTTTCCAAGGCAGTGGTTCTTTTGCTCCACCCATGCTAATATCTACCTTGCAGGCTCAGAAATATCCTGTAAATGGTTGCCAAGGTTTTCTAGTTTCCGTCACCGATGCTAGTAGTGTGACATCGAGACTAGAAGACATACCAGTGGTGCGTGAGTTTCCGGATGTATTTCCAGAGGATCTCCCAGGTTTACCTCCGGATAGGGAGGTTGAATTTGCTATTGACCTTGTTCCTGGCACCGGACCTATTTCTAAAGCACCATATCGTATGGCTCCTACAAAATTGAAGGAGTTAAAGATTCAGCTGAAGGAACTCCTTGAGAAGGGGTTTATACGCCCTGGTGTGTCACCTTGGGGAGCTCCAGTGTTGTTTGTTAAGAAGAAAGATGGGAGCATGAGACTGTGCATTAATTACCGGGAACTAAATAAGGTGACTGTGAAGAACCGGTATCCCCTTCCTAGAATTGATGACCTGTTTGACCAGCTCAAAGGTGCCCAGGTATTTTCTAAGATTGATCTTCGGTCTGGCTACCACCAGTTGAAGATTAAACCTGATGATGTGCCAAAGACTGCCTTTCGCACCCGTTATGGTCATTATGAATTCCTGGTTATGCCTTTTGGCTTAACAAATGCCCCTGCCAGATTTATGGACTTGATGAATCGAGTATTTAGCCAGTACCTAGACAAGTTTGTGGTCGTCTTTATTGATGACATTTTGGTCTATTCTGCTAGCCATGCTGTTCATGAAAAGCACTTAAGGATAGTCCTCGAGACATTGAGAAGTGAGAGGCTGTTTGCTAAATTTAAGAAGTGTGAATTTTGGCTAGACAATGTTGCATTCTTAGGTCACGTTGTGACTAAGAATGGAATTTCTGTTGACCCCCAGAAAATTGAGGCCGTGGTGAATTGGAAAAGGCCAAATAGTGTCGCAGAAATTCGAAGTTTTCTGGGATTGGCTGGTTATTTCCGCCAATTTGTGGGGGATTTCTCCAGAATTGCTCAGCCAATGACTCGTCTGATCAGGAAGGATGCCAAGTTTGAGTGGACTCCAGAGTGTGAGGAGAGCTTTTTGACCTTGAAGGAGAAGTTGGTCACTGCCCTTGTACTTGCACTTCCAATCCATGGGGAAGGATTCACCATATATAGTGATGCCTCTAAAAAGGGTTTGGGATGTGTCTTGATGCAGAAGGATAGGGTTATTGCATATGCCTCTCGGCAGTTAAAGCCTTATGAAGAAAATTACCCTACCCATGATCTGGAGTTGGCAGCCGTGATATTTGCGCTCAAGATCTGGAGGCATTATCTATACGGTGAGACTTGTGAAATCTTTACCGATCACAAGAGTCTTAAGTATATTTTCACTCAAAAGGAGCTTAATATGAGGCAGAGGCGATGGCTTGAACTTCTAAAGGACTACGACTTGACCATTAGCTACCATTGAGGCAAAGCTAACAAAGTAGCGGATGCGTTGAGTAGGAAGTCCTCTGGCACTGCCTCTAGCATCCTTGCCACTCAGAAAGAGTTACTTGAGGACCTTGTGAAACTGGATGTGGAGCTGAGAATGGACAGCACTATGGCTTATCTAGCCGCTCTCAGTGCACAACCTGCATTAATAGATAGAATTAAACTTGCCCAGCAGAAAGATCCTTTCTTGCAAAGGATGAAGGAAAAAGTAAGAGTCGGGGAACCCCACATGCAAGAATTCAGAATTTCTGATGATGAGATTCTGTGGTTCGGTAACAGGCTGTGTGTACCAAGAGATCATGCTCTAAGGCGTGAGATTATGGGAGATGCCCATTATACTAGCTATACAATTCACCCAAGTAGCACCAAGATGTATCGCGATTTACGTAGTACATTTTGGTGGCGGAACATGAAGAGGGAGATAGCTAGATTTGTCTCACAATGCCTCACTTGCCAAAAAGTCAAGGCTGAACACCAGAGACTTCCTGGAAAACTGCAGCCTTTACCTATTCCCTAGTGGAAGTGGGAGAACATGACCACGGACTTTGTGACAGGCCTACCACGAACCTTAAAGGGTAATGATTCCATCTGGGTCATCGTTGATCGATTGACCAAATCAGCTCACTTCTTACCCTACCGGACTGGCACCTCCATTGAAAAGCTTGCCAATATGTACATGGAGGAAGTAGTCAAGCTACATGGAGTCCCTGTGTCTATTGTGTCAGATAGAGATACCAGATTTTTATCTCATTTCTGGACAAGCTTGCAGCAGGCACTTGGTACTCAATTAAATTTCAGCACGGCCTTTCATCCTCAAACTGATGGGCAATCTGAGAGAACTATCCAGATACTTGAGGACATGTTGAGGGCTTTTGTTCTAGATTGGAAAGGTTCGTGGAATCAACACTTATCCATGGCTGAGTTCGCATATAATAACAGTTATCAATCCAGTATCCGCATGGCACCGTTTGAGGCGTTGTATGGTCGAAGGTGTAGATCACCTGTTTGTTGGACGGAGGTGGGCGAAAGGAGTATTTTAGGCCTAGAATTGGTGCAACAATCTTCTGAGATTGTGCAGTTAATCAAGGAACGCCTTCCTGCTGCACAAAGCAGGCAGAAAAGCTATGCGGATAAAAGGAGGCGAGATCTCGAGTTTGAAGTTGGTGACCATGTATTTTTGAAGGTGTCACCCACTCGAGGTGTCCTCAGGTTTGGCATCCAGGGAAAATTGAGTCCGAGGTATATTGGACCATATCCTATCTTGGAAAGGATTGGCGAAGTAGCTTATAGATTGGAGTTGCTTGGAAATCTAGCGGGTGTTCATGATGTGTTTCATGTGTCCTTATTTCGGAAATATGTTTCCGACCCGAGTCACATCATTAATCCCGAACCAATTCAACTCCGGGAGGATCTTACTTATGACGAGCACCCGATCCGCATTTTGGATTTCAAGGAGAGGATAATGCAGAGAAGGACCATTCGTTTCGTTAAGGTCCTCTGGGACAACCATTCGGTTGAAGAAGCTACTTGGGAGTTAGAATCCAAGATGAGGCAGGAACATCCGCACCTCTTCCAAGATTGAGGGATGAGTTTAGGGGACTAAACTCCTTTTTAGGAGGGGTGGATGTAATACCCCAAAATTTTCAAGAACAATTAAGTGTAAGCTAGGGACCTAATTGTGAGAAAATAATGTTTTTAAACTTAATCATCAAATTTTCAAAAGTCAAGGGGCTAAAAAGAAAACCAATTTGGATAAGGATCAAGCTTAGATTTTTTTTTCTTTTCTTCCTCATTTTCACGCGGGTCTGCTCTGTCTTCTTCCCGATCGTTCCTCCCGAAAAGCCCCCAAGCCACCGACTTTCTCCCCTTGAAAAACCCGGTGAAGGCCTCTTGAAATTTCCCTCCTTTCTTGCTCAAGAACCAAGTCTCAAGCCTAGAACTCTCTCCCTCAACCCAGAAATTCCAGATCTGCTCTACGTCTTCCTCCCTCTGCCTTCCGCGAGCTGCTCTTGCCGGTGAGAGTGCTTCGGTTTTTGGTAAGGGAACAACCATAAAATCATCTCTTAAGCTTTGATCTATGTTGGGTTTACTCTAATTCCTCTTAGTCCTCCCAATTTTGGTAGCCCGTGAGCTTTTCCTGCCTTCCCGTCGGTCTCCCCAAGCCACAGCTCCGGTTTTTTGTTGAAATTTTCTGGTATGTGGCAACTCTTTTAAGTCCAATTTCATTTAATTAGTGGTTGCCTTGTTGAATTTGGTCCTTGTGTGACTGCCTGTGTTGTCCGAATGCTGGCAAGGGAAGAATGGAAGATTTCGGCAGCTTAATTGTGCTTTCTTGTTAATTCATGTGGAAATTGCTTGTTGTGGTTGCTGTGATGTTAATTGTGGGAAAATTCTATGAAATTCCCGTGAATTGGCAATTTTTGCCTAAGCCGGTTCCTCCATTTTGTCTATGAGATTTGGAAATGTAAATATAAATGCACAATATGATTTTTAGAGCTCAAATTTCGAATAGGAAGTAAAATAAAATGAAGTAAATAAATAAAATAAATATTGCATTATGGAGGTTAATTGCCGGCAATATTGAAAAGAATCAAATAGGTAGTTCTCATATGGTTATTAATTCTGGAATATTGTGATTAGGTACTTAATTATTCTGCACTGTAGCGCTTGGGATTAGTGGTCTGTTTGGTGCGATTTGAGGTAAGTAAATGATGGTAAAGCCCTTCGATTTTAAAGCATGTTTTGATTTGTTTTTGAAATGGTGGCGGGACTAAACTCGTTTTATACAAAATATGTATGATTGATTTGAACTGAAAATTTTTATGATTTTTATGGATTTGAGCATGCCTACTTGAAGTTCATGTGATTGTCCAGATGATTTGAAAGTTATTTGTAAAGAATGATTTTCTGTTAACTTCAGCCTGTTTTGTCTCCGATATGGTCATGTTATTTCTGTAATCCTGCTAGTGGGGGTTAAACGCTAGCACATGTCGACATGTATTTCTGTAGAGCCGGTTCCTCCTGCCAGTGGGAGTTGTTAAACACTGGTATTTCTGTAATCCTGCTAGTGGGGGTTAAACACTAGTAATTTCTGTAATCCTGCTAGTGGGGGTTAAACACTAGTAATTTCTGTAACCTGCCAGTGGGAGGTTTATAACACTGGCCATGACCTATAGAGGAGACGTCTATTTCGTTCCCGTACTTATATCCGTTTTTTTTATTGCACTTATTGGCATGCGATAAGTTTAATTGACTACTACTGAACTTTATTCTGCATAATGGTTTATCGTTGAACATTCCGTTTATGTTAAACTGGTTATCTGAAATGCTCACATTTCACCCACGAGTTATCCATAAATTTACTTATTGAGATATTTTATCTCATAGTTTTTTCTTGTCCACCATTTCAGGTAGTGAGACCTGACGCATGGGGAGCCTAGGGGAGTGACGAGCTAGACGGCTAGGCACTTTTGGACTTAGAATTTGTAGCTAGGCCGTTAGTCACCCATGCTTGACTTAGGAATTTTTGTGTACAGAACTTAGTGTTAGTCATGACTGTATATATGAAGTGATAAATTTTGTACATCTGACTGGTAAATATTTGGTAAATAAAAAGGTTTAGATCTGAATTATCTGAATTGCTAAGTAAGAATTCAATAGGTTTAGAGTCTTGTGCATTTGTGGGCCTCGCTCACGAGTGCACGGCGTCTGTCTCGCTCCGGGATTGGGGCGTGACAGTTGCGTTGGAAAAAAATGTGAAAAATATTTTTTTGATTTTTGAAAAATTTTCTTGTCAACAGTAACACTAAAAATATTATTTTCCAGCACAGTGCGTTGAAAAATTAGTTTCACTTAAAAATTATTTATGGATCTTAGATATTTTATACAAATTTTTAATTTCTAGCGCTAAGCGCTGGAAAATAATATACTACTTTCTAGTATAAATTGCGCTGGAAAATAGTTGGTTGAAAAAAGACAAATTTTTGGTAGTGTTAGAATGGAGAATTTTGAAATTGACTTGAATGAAATAATATCAATGAGAAAATGATGACATTTAAGAGACTCCTTTATATATGGCTCTTTATATTATAGACATTCTTAATAGAGTAATTATTTTCTTTTCTCTTTTTCAAAGTTCAAAATGAAGTTTGTTGATAATATATTTAGGAGATATTGTGAGTGAATCTAATATATAATTGATCAACTATATTAACAATTTGAGATTAAGTTTTTTAGAGTCTATAGACCTTGATTCCAAAGGATTGTTAGGCTATTGACAAATTTTACTCGAGTTGTTTCAATTGATATCAAAGAATTCACGTCTCCCAAGTGTAGACCTATGTTGATCATTATGGATAGTGGTAGTATGGACTTCACAATTCACATTACTTGAGGTTGGGTCTTGTATTTGTAGGCTTGTTGGCCTTGTTTATGTGAGGGAGATTGTGATGTCCTAAATCCCATGTAAGCCTCATTTAAGTAAGGGAGTGTGATGCCTTGAATTTCGTATCTAGGAGGAAGTATGAGTAAGTTTGGTATATAAATGACTAGTTATTACTAACAAATTGAGCTTAAATTTTTGAGTTTCTATAGATTTTAGTTTGAAGAATTGTTAGGCCAATACCCATGTTGTTTCAAAAGTGTTATGCAGTTACAACTTGAGTATAAGTTTTTAAAGTCTTGTGAGTCTTAGCTCAAAAAATTTGAAAGGCCAATGGCCTAGCTCATTTCCAAAGTATACTATTGGATAAAGGTAGGTCTTTAATATCAGGGACTATCTACATCTAATAATTCTTATTTTATAACCTAGTGATAGTGTAGTGTGAGTTGCAAAATATGAAACTCTTAGGTTAAAGAGCAAATTGTGTCCTTTCTTACATATATATATATATATATAGGGAGAGAGAGAGAGGGGAACCTTTGAGATGGTTTGTAATATCCCAAATTTTCGGAAATTTTATTATTTAAGTTGAGGACCTTTGTGTGAGAAAATATGGTTTTGGGACTTAATAGCCAAAGATTTCAAAGTTCAGGGACTTATAGGAGGAAAATCTAGAAGGGTCGGCTACTTTTCTTTTTCTTCTTTCTTCTTCTCCAGCCATTTCGTGTTTCTGCTCATTTGTTTCTCCCCTGCAGCTCGACAATTCCCAGCCACCGCCACCCTTCCATTTCTTGAAAAAAATTGGAAGAAGGCTTGAAATTTCTCCTCCTTTCTTGTTAAATAACACGATTTAGGAGCTTAGAAACCTTCTCCCCTCTGCAGAAATCCAGATCTGCTCTGCTCTGTCCGTCCAGTTGCTGCCCTTGTTTGTGGGTACAAATTCCTTTGATTTTTGGGTAAGAAACAGCCACTAATCCCTCTGTTCTTCTTTGATTTGCCTTGGGTTTACTCTAATTCCTCTTGGTTCTCCAATTTTGGGTGGTTCCCGTGAGTCCCCTGCAGCTTGCCGCCGCCAGCTTCTCCCCCTGCCAGCTCCGGTTTGCTTGCTGGAAATTCTGGTATGTTGACAGCTCCTCCAAGCTTGAATTTCATCAATTGATTGCTGCCTTGTGATGTCCGAATTTGGTTGAAAAATGGGGATGAATTCCAGTAGCTTTAGGACAAAATTTAAGCATTAATTCAAGTGGTATTTATGTGATTGAGTGTTAATCGACTGTTGTGAGATTTTGGAGAAAAATCCCGTAAAATTAGCTAGTGTTTTACCAATTTTGGGAAGTGCAGTTACTGTTTATGGGTACTGTTCACGAGCGCTGTTCACGCACTGATGGCCAACAATTAATGGGGATTTAAATGTTTAGTTTGTAATATAAGAACGAATTTGGAGGGGTCTAGTCATGTGGAGATCGATAGGAATGACATCGTGATTAGGGGGTAGCCATGATCATTTCAGTTTGAATTTGTGGTAGTGCGGTATTAATTTTGGAATATTTTGATTAGGTTCCTGATTGTTCTGTCAGTTTAGCACTGAGATTGAGTCTTCGGTTTTATGCGAGTGAGGTAAGTGAATTTATGGTAATGCCCGTACAGTTTTTTTAAAAGCATGTTTTGACTTGTTTTTGAAGTGGTGGCGAGACTAAATCCGTTTTACACGAGCATGACTGATTTGAAGTGAAATTTTTATGCTTTTCATTAAATTGAGCATGCCTACTTGAAATTTAATTGATTGTCCTGATGATTTGAAAGTGATTGGTGAATTATGATTTTTCTATTAACTTCTGCCTGTTTTGTCTCCGATATGGTCATGTTATTCGTGTGCCCGCTAGTGGGAAGTTTATAAACGCTAGCACATGTCAACATGTTACTGATAGAATCGGTTCGCTTCTGTTATCCTGCTAATGGGATTATACACTAATAAATCGTGTGTCTGTCAGTGGGAGGTTTATAACACTGGCCATGACCTATAGAGGAGACATTTATTTTGTTCCCGTACTGTATCCGTTTTTCATTATTACACTTGTTGGCATGCTATAAGTTTAATAAGGGCACTCCATATTTTACTTACTGAGTTTATCTCATAGTTTTTCCTTGTCCACCATTTCAGGAA